AAGATGGCTAACTCACAGTAAGAAAATAAAAAAAACTCACAGGCCAAAATACCTTTATTTAAAACAATATAGTTTAAAAAACCACAACGCGTTTCGCCCTTAGGCTTTATCAAGTGGAGATCACTATTTATTCTGGACTTCTATTTGCTTATTATCTTTCATATATATTGCATTCTAGTCTGCCTATTCTGTGCTCTTTTAATTTATGTGGTTTATAGTGGCGCTGCCTTCCTTTCTTTTTTCATTATTCTATTAACTATGCAAAAGATTTTGAAAAACCCTTTCAGAACATGTAATCAAGTCTTAAAAAACCCCAACTACAAAAAATTAGATACTTAGGGGTATGGCTGTCCAAGCAGAGCAGAGACCTGTATAGGGACAACTTCGCCTCTATACTACACACGTTCCAACGAGACTTGAGGGAATGGTCCTACCCGCACATATCGTGGCTCGGGAGAGTGCAGGTCATAAAAATGAACTTCCTTCCGCGCCTCTTATACCTCTTTCAGGCCATCCCCACTGTCATACCAGGCCCCTTCTTTAACACACTCAGAAAAGAAATGATAAAATACGTATGGAACGGGAGGAGGCCCAGAGTGAAATTTTCCACACTGACACGTCCTAAAGACAAAGGGGGACTAGCCCTTCCAGACTTCCACCAGTACTACATAGCCACACACCTGCAGAGAATCATGGAGTGGTCTAAAGACGGAGTTCACAAACTATGGAAGACAGTGGAAGAGGCAGAAGCAGGCAGACCGATCTCGGGGCTTCCCTGGGGCCGAGACACAACCGATAGAGGTGACATGTCCATATACACGAGACACACTATGAGAGTTTGGAGGAAGGCCGCAAAGAAAGGGAATATGGCACCGTACCCCTCCCCCCTCTTGCCCCTGACACACAACGAGGACTTCCCACCGGGTCTAGACCCTGGAACCCTCAAACACATCTTCCCAGACAGTACCCCACGCCTACACCACTTCCTTCAAGGTGGGAAATGTAAAACACTAACGGACTTGATGGGAGAGACGCCCCCGACCTTTATGCACCGCTTCCGACATGCCCAACTGACCAATTACATCCACTCCCTACCACAGGGACCAGCACTGGCCAGAGACCAGACCACGATAGAAGTGGTCAGCTCACACCCAGACCCGCTCCCGCATGGAGTGTCCTTCTTATATTCCATGCTCCAATCAGAAACCCCGTACGACACACCACTATTCATGGGAAAATGGGAAACAGCCCTGGGTAACACACTAACGGAAGCAGAATGGGAAACCATCTGCTACCTTACACACCACTGTTCCACTCACAGCAAAACACAGGAAACGGCCTACAAGCTTCTAACACATTGGTATAGGACACCACATCTCCTTCATCACGTAAACCCAGACCACTCCAGACTCTGCTGGAGATGTGAAAGAGAGGTGGGCACCACAAAACACATCTGGTGGGATTGCGCGATGATCCAACCATACTGGAAGAGGATACACAAAATGCTAGAGAAGTTCGCGGACGCGCCCCCCCCCCTGGAACCGGCAGCGATGCTCCTACACCACACAACAGTTCCCCGATCCAAATACAAAAAATCCATGACCATTAGAATACTTAACGTGGCCAAACGAGTGCTCCCCCAATTCTGGAAACAAACAGTTACACCTCCACTTTCGACCTGGTTTAGCCAAATGGAAGAGCTAAGGTCAATAGAGGAACTGACCATGACGACCAACACTACACCCACTACCTACATGAGCATCTGGACGCACTGGATTCTAGAGACGGCAAAAGAAGAGTTCCAATTAGAACTCAGGCCTAACACTAACGGGAATCACGACACAGACAGATAGTACTCAGAACACACACCACAGACGACGCTAGATGGACGACAGACGAACTGGACGGAACTACCCCCCCCCCTCCTTCCTTTCTTCCCACCCAGACACATTCCCCCCCTCTTGCCCCCTGCGAAATACCAGAGCATCATCATTGACTGAATCATCCCCACCGCACCCATAGCGACAAGGGAAAACATATTTGGGAACGATCAACGAACACGAACTGGTACTTACATCCAGACCGGCCCGGGAAGACACCCCAAAGCCAAAACATGCGAACACCTGAAGGAACCCTGGACAGGCCCAGCATTGACACGGCTAATACAGTATCCACACGCCCAAGGTAAGGGTACCCTTTACCCGCAATACCACCATTCCCCTGGTTAAACACGGGAAACACCGATAGTAATAACGGGGGTAAACACAAGCCCACCACGGTCGATGACACATAGCTAAGAACACAGGGCCCGATGAGACGCCGTGGACAGGGACCATAGGGGTGGCCTACAAACACTGACACCTAATCAAAGACTGATTAATCTGGTTCAAGGACGATTACAAAGCATTATTTTCACTCAGTTCATGAAAACGTTACTTAATTTATAGTCCCAAACAAATGTAAATACCAGAAAATGGGGACCTGCGAGTCCTTCTGTGATGGGGCCTGCGAGCCTAATTTGTTACCTTTTATAATAACATGCAATGGAGACCTGCGCGTCTCACCGCAAATTTAAATACACAAAATGAATAAAAATCATATTCACAAAAAAAACCCCAACTATAACATGTCACGTATTCATCTGCTTACAAAAATGTGGTTAATGACATTTACTGTCCACACAGGAAAAGTGCCGAGCAACAACCAAATCCACAGATGGGCTAATGCTGAGCAGCAATTATGCAAATGGTATCTGGTAACTGACATTGGGGTCAAAGGCCAGTTACAGCCAATCAGACCTAGAGGAGGGGTATTTAGGCCCAGTTCTCATCCTGCTCAGTGCCCTGTCGTGGTTGTCCGAGAGCACGTTATTGATTCTGGTTATTTGACTTTGGCATTGTTTTTGACTTCCCTGTTTTCTGGCATCCCTGACTCCTGGCTTTTCCTTATCGTTGTGTCTCTGTTTCCGTTGACCTCGGCTATTCCTGACTATTCTTTGGTACGTTAGTCCGGCCATTCTAAGGTCCGGTATACGTTACCTATCAGTCCTCTGTGTTATACAATTTTACGTGCTGGATCATTCTGTAATCCTGACACATCACATTTGAAGAGCTTTGTTAGGGTGGTGTACTTTTTTTTTTTTTTTAAACTGCTGAACATAGGCAGTAGACATATCTGGAAACTCCAATATTTTACATAATAGCCAAGATTAGTAATAACATAAGATGTGCCAGTGCAAGTTTCATTTAAATTAAATTAATTTAAACTACTAGTCAGTAGGATGATTAAAATCCTGATTTTTATTTAAATATAAAGAATTATTCTTGATGGTTGTTAAAGCTGCTGCTGCAAATTTCCTGGTGGTCTGGTGGTAGAAGTTCCTGCTATCAACTGCCTTGGTGGTCCGGAGCTACTTTGTAGATCCAGCTTGGACCTCTGATCTGGTTAGCACCCAGGGATACCTTAGACGAAGGGTCTGACTGCCGTTCCACATTTTCTTTTCTCTATGGGTGCAAGCTTTATCACGGGCCCTGGAATTGGTAACCTGCAGCAATGCTCTGACAGGCTGAGCTTGTGCAAGGGAGAGGACCAGGCACAAGTGCAGACAGAGTCTGCTGGGATCCTTCTCCCTCTGGAATAGCTTAAAAATGGCATGGGATAGAAGGATCTTTGATCTCTTTCACCATGTCTAATTGAGGCTGTACATACAATATATATATATATATATATATATATATATATATATATATATATATATATATATATATATATATATATATATATATATATATATATATACACACACACACACATACACACACACACATACAAAAAAGTTTGCATTGGACATATAGGACACAGGCATTTTTTTTTACCCGCAAATTAAGGGGGAAATATGTGTCCTTTGTCCTGAATAATAGGTTTATTAGTAAATTTATTTAGAGCTTGGCATATTAGGCGGGCAATCCTCACCTACAGAACATGAGGAGAAAAAAACAAAAACAAAAATGCATTGGTCAGATCCCAGCCCTGGTGATAGGGCCAGAATGTGAAATATCCACGTCAGGGGGGGGCCAGAGAGGATCCCAGACTACCTCCACCGACTCTTCTCTACACTGTTACTGCCCAAGCAGGCCAAGTTGCTCACCCTTGACAGCTGTTTCAGGATGCCCAAGACACCAAGAGCACCACAGGAGGCTCCCATAAACGTGCGGGCTAGGTTCCTATAGGAAATTGACAGGGCAATGCTTATGGGGGCTGCAGGAAACTCCCCCACCTTGTGTGAGGGGTCACACCTTACCATCTTCAGAGATTTCTCCAGGCAAACTGTTCTATGGACCCCAGCAGCTGTTCAACAGGAACAGCAAGACCTACATTATCTCATCTTATATGATGCTCCCACTTTTCTGCAAACAATGGGTCTTCCTGCAGACTTACTGCCACTGACTGAGCACCACCACTGGAATGCTGGCACTATACCTTTTGTGCCAGCACCTGGCACGTCTACGACGGAGAGACTATCTCCATAATGCAATTTAGCAGCACTCCTTTATACTTTTAATCAAAAATGTTAACCTTGCGCTGTATGTTTTTGGACTGCCTTAGTTTTGGCAAACTCTCCACCTCTATCTATCCTGTTTTGACATAAGACATACCTGCATATGTATATTGTGCTATCCCTACCTTACTTTTTGGTACAGCACAATATACATCTTTACACCTCTTCTGCTAACTGTTTGGCATCTACATGCCACCCTCTCCATGGCTACTTCTGTTTTTTATATGAAAATGTTACTCAGCCATTTGCTCTAACAAAAAATAAAATAATAGTAAATGTAGTTTTGTCTATTCACACCTTTATGCTAATGCTAAACTTATTTTTCTTTTTATTTAGTCATAGTTAATATTGTCTTATATATACAAATAGGGTATCAGACAAAAAAACAAAACAAAAAAAAAAAACCACACTTTTCCTCCTTATGTGTGTTGGTGCATGTAAACAGAAAAGGGGAAAATTGTGGTAGAATGAAAATATGGCAAAAGTGCCAGCAACATCTTGGTCACAAATGTGTCTGATCTCAAAAGTGCCTTGGTCTTTAAAGGGTTAAATTTCCCTTGTTCAGTTGCACACATTTCACAAACCCCAGAGAAAAATGTCATGTAGTTCTGTAATGATCTTAAAAATCCCAGTACAAAAGCCATGTTTGCAACACTACAATGGAAGCTGGGTTAGGACAAGCATGTCACAATCTGATTTGTAAATGAACAAAATAAAAGGACACGATTTCTGAGTTATAATGTGCATTTGTTCTGCACACAGATAAATAAATTAAAATAAGGGTGTGACAACATTAGTAATACAACATTTAAATAGACTGGCAGAGTGCCAAACATATTTCACTGGGATTTTACACCCAAGGGCAGACTGCTGCTGGAATCCAGGTCAAAGTAGACTTGCAAATAAATCAATCAGTTTTTCTTGTTGGAGCACTGGAAAAAAAATAAAAGTTTTACACTGATCTAAAAAACAGTTTGTTGTGTGCAAGACATATTTGAAAGAAGCAGTTCTTTCCCCATATGGAATATCTCAGGTACAAATAAAAGTGACACTGTAGCATTATAAAAATAGATATCAGAATTCTTATTGCTACAGTCTTAATGCCCCTGCTTAGGTTTAGGCCCCCTCTCCAGTGACTTAATAGAAGAAGAAAAAAAAAAAACAAAACCACCAACACTTTTTCCCCCAGAGTCTCTTTTGGCGCCTCCACAACCTCCAGTCAATCCAAGTGGGCATTGTTGGTGCATGTGTAGCGTTCGCTGCGATGTGCCAATGATTCTGTTATAGGGTATCACTGACTACAATGATCCTCTATGGCAGACTTTGATGGCACTGCGCATGTTAAGACATGTTAGGGTATGAAAGCCAAGAAGTAACAGTCCCGGCTCTCATACCCAGAGGCCTTGAAGGGTTAACTTTAAATCCACGCTTTCAAGCATTCTATTTAGTAAAATAAAGAGGGGGATTACTGCATTTATTTAGATGCAGTTGTTAGAGAAAAAAATAACACTCCTAGCACTATCACCAATACAGCGCTTCATAGTGGTTATGGTGCCAGGAGTGGCCTGGCTCCACCTCATGTAAGTTGTCAAACCATTTTCTACAGGTTTGAAAGCTTACCTGGGGTACGCCAGACAGCCACTAGAGAGCTTTCTGGTTTGAAACGGACCTTTGGTCCAGTATCTGATGCTGGACGTCCTCTCGCTCTGCATGAGGACCTCCTGCATAAGATTTTTCGACATAGGAAAGCATTGATTCAATGCTTTCTTCTGGGTAGGTCTAATGCGAGGGATGCATTAGCGAGAGCTTGTAACAAAACAGAGGAGGAGGAGCTTCAACCCAGCACTGGAGGGACAACAGAGCTGGGTTAAGGAATAAAGGGAAGGGGCGAGGCAGTGGGAGCGATAGTGCCAGAAAGACAGTTTTGTATTCATGGCACTATGTATCCCTTTAAGGTGGTCTAAATGAAGCATTTCACTGGTGCACCCCAGGTAAGTTTTCATACGGTTGCCTGCTTAAAATGGGAAAGGGGCGACAGCAGGGCACTCCTGGCCTCTTTACAGTATACCTGGCTGGAAGAGACAGCTAGTCCTCACTGTGTACATGTATATTCCATTAATGAATGTTTCTTTAGGTGACATGTGAAATATGATTTGCAGAGTCCTGGTGGATTAACAGTCAGGGAATCACCATCATAACCCCCCCCCATCCCTGTGTGTCACACCATTAATCCCCCCAATCCCTGTCTGTCACAACATTAACTCCTCCCCCCATCCCAGTATATAACCCCCAATTAACCATTCTATATCTGATGGATGTGCGGTACACCCTTCATGTTAGTGGCCCAGCTGATCCCGCGTCATTGGAAGCAGTGCGCATGCAGACACTGTACGGAGTGAGAAATAGAGAGATACAAAATAGTGCAAATATTGCTGTACACAAGCTCTTAATAAAATATGTGTCAAATACACTCACAATGGAAGAGCCATATAATATAACCTGGCTCTTGTGTGGATTTCCTCTGGGATCTTAATTGGGTGATCCCCAGACCTCTTTGATGCTTGTTGTAGTCAGTCTCCCCTCAATGATGAACCATGGAAGGTATTTTCCAAAGCAAAAAATATTTATTAAAAAAAAAAATTAAATAAATAAAAATAGGTGGTAGTAATACAGTAAAATAAAACCTTGTAATGTCCAATATGCTTGCCAAAACGCGTTTCGCCGATGTTATGCCAACTGAGGAAGCCACATCGGCGAAACGCGTTTTGGCAAGCATATTGGACATTACAAGGTTTTATTTTACTGTATTACTACCACCTATTTTTATTTATTTAATTTTTTTTTTTAATAAATATTTTTTGCTTTGGAAAATACCTTCCATGGTTCATCATTGAGGGGAGACTGACTACAACAAGCATCAAAGAGGTCTGGGGATCACCCAATTAAGATCCCAGAGGAAATCCACACCAGAGCCAGGTTATATTATATGGCTCTTCCATTGTGAGTGTATTTGACACATATTTTATTAAGAGCTTGTGTACAGCAATATTTGCACTATTTTGTATCTCTCTATTTCCCAAAGCTTAAATTTAGAAGAAAGAGAAGTATTAATTTTATTTTTCTCTCTTTCGTTATCACCATTTGCTCCACCTATTTCTTTGTGTGTTGTATGTTATTTTATGTGAAGGTGTAGGGGATACCTCACTGGTGTTTTTGAGCAAATATCACTTCTTTAGACATACCTGTGTTATTATTCTACTGTACGGAGTGGTTTGACGTGAATCACACACCTTGGTGTACAGTAACAGAGGAGTACAGAACTGCAAACGGTAATTGGAACCACAATTTTTATGATTAGTATAGTGCGTTTCTGGCATTTATTATTTTAGTACACTCTAGTTATGCATTTATTTATTTATTTTAATAAATATACCTGGAAAGTATTCATGTCATGCTTACTTTGTAGAAAGTTCAGGTTTTATGTTAGACTTCATAATAGTTTTTATTGACAAACCATATTCAAAATATACCATTTTGCAATATGTTTAGTTTGTTTACGTTACCCAACTAATATACTATAGGTGTCTGCTTACTAGATAGTACGCTGGGCATGTCTAATTCTAATGGTGGTCACCCAGTATGGCAATTAATTTGCTCCATCCTTAAAGTATGCCTACCAAGTGTGCCTATTTAGGAGAAACAGTCCCTATTTTGGGCACAAATCCCTCTGTCCCCCTTTTTTAACCCAATTCCCATCTGATTGTGTATCTAAGTGTATAACAGAGCTATACATAAATAATACTCATAGTAATTTGTCTTTAAACTGCAATAAACGTGTTTATAAAACAGTCTGTGTAAATAGTATATATTTTGTTTTTGTTCTAAATTACATTTTAGTTGCATAAACTGTTATTAGCAAGTCACCTAACATTTCTCAGAACTGCCTTATCCACACACACACACACACACACACACACACACACATCCCTAAAATTAAAAAAAGTGTCCCTCATTGTCAGATTGAAATGTTTGGAGGCATGTTTAAAGGGTTACTCCAAGCATGATGGCCTCTTAAAGTGCAGCACATGCAAAGATTAACCCCTTAGCTGCAGGAAGTGTAATTCCCTCTCCAGCAGATTCATTAGCCAACAAAAATTCCAGAACAAAATTCCAGGCTGGCTAATGTTAATCCTGCGCAAAATTGGCAACTGATGCCAGCATGTACAGAAGTGCGGACCCCCCTTCAGAAAGCAGTACTCGAACCAAAACCAGTGTTTTAAGGTAGAACTTCTTTTGTTTCGGATGGAGTAACTCTTTAAGTCCACTTTCAAGTTTAACCCCTTAAGGACCAAACTTCTGGAATAAAAGGGAATCATGACATGTCACACATGTCATGTGTCCTTAAGGGGTTAAACAATGGGTAAACATTTGACATATACAGATGGTGCTAGAGGCAATGAGAGATAGCGGTTTGCTGAACTCCTTTGAGACTGCCACTAAAGCACATGGTACAGCTGTTGGAGGCTTTGTGCTATAAGGTATCATTGGAGGCATACTATGCAATTGTGGCATGTATCGAGGTACTGTTGGAGCCTGGGACTCCTGGCACCATAACCACTACAGAGGGCTATAGTAGTAATTGTGCTTAGAGTTCACCCTTAAATGGCAGGTAAAGCTATACAATTGGTACAAGTGTCACTCACAGAGATCACACCCTAAATTCCTGATCTAGGGTAAGGGTTAGAAACAAGGTAACGGTTGTAGAATTAGGTTTCGGGTTGGAGTGACATTTAGGCTAAGAATCAGATTTGTATTTGTTTAGTTTGTTTGTGGTTTTGAGAATTTGGTAGGTGGGGTCAGGTTCCTGTAATTTATAATGTAGTTTTTCCCTTTTCTTCTGCTGAGGCATATGCCATAATGCATTTGTCAAAGTTTAATGGTGGTCATTATGGTGACACAATTAGTGTCACTTCATCAAATAGCAACACTGTGAGGCAGCCAAGGGGCAGATCATCAGTAGAACAAGAGTTATATCTAATGTGCAGCACAATTTATACAGCAAAATACAAAATCGTAGTAGGACCAAGCAGGCATGTGAAATTCACCACAAAAATGCAATGTATGGGGAATTAAATATATAAAAACCAAAAAAAAAATATAGCAGAATATGCATTTTATTGAAAATATTTAAAATGCCACAAGGAGACATGGAGATAAAACAGGTGGTCTTCTTTAGCAAACAATACACCATAATGGGATTAACGTACATTTAAGTATCTTCAATCCAGCGCTGGTTAAAGGAACACTTCAGGCACCATACCCATAGTGGTTTTGGTACCAAAGTGCCTAGGTGCCCCCAATGTAAGTAGTCGCTAATGGTTTGATTTCTTACCTTGAGTCTGCCAGGGACAAGTCTGAGCTTCCATGGGGAGTAGCCGGAAGATTTCTCCAGGGAGTGCGGAACATCCTACTAAGAGTTTCCGTAAACTCTCCTGAATTAAGCCCTGCCATGCAGGGTCATCTCATTGCCAGAGAGCAACAGCTGATTGTTTCCGATCAACGATCTAAGCCAGGGCTAGACAAATGTTCTAGAACAGGGGTGCCCAAAAAGGTAGAGCCCCAGATGTTTTAAAATGACAACTTCCATGATGCTTTGTGATTCTAAAGACAGGCATGGAAATCATCATGCGACTCATCATTCCACAACATCTGAGGAGCTACCGTTTGGGCACCCCTGTTCTAGAATGTCTGTGAATCTACCATCAACTGCCATGAAGCTTTACCAACAATCTAAAAAGGCAAAGCATCATGTAAGTTGCAGCTCTACAACACCTGGGGATCTACCATGCACTCAGCCCAAATTTACGCCCTGCACTGCCAGGATTAGTAAAGAAAGCTTTAGTAGTCGGAGACTGGTACCCGGAAGACCCAAGTAAGAAGTCAAACCGTTCTTAAATGGTCTGCCAGGTTGTAGTGGTTATGGTGTTGCACCCCACAATGCTGGATTTGCTATTGTGGATATTTAGCAGGTAAGAAGTTGTTCTGTAGGTACGTCACCTTTGTCAAATTGCTATGAACAGTTTGACACCAACCAGGGTGAAGGGCACCCACTTCCTTTTGTCACCATAATCACTACACTTATCTGTAGTGGCTATGGTGCTTAGAGTTCCACTAATGTGGAAATCTACTGTCAATTCTGTTCTCGAAAATGTTGTTAATAAAGTTAGTTTTAATTATATGCTAGCCAGTGACCCACAATGTAAAGAAACAATTATTTGCAAAAAAATTAAAAAATTTAAAAAAATAAAATGAAATACTAGTATAAATTAAAAACGACCTCTCCGTGCAGTTAAGAGTTTGAGAAAGCCCAGTGGATTACAAATGTAATCTTTTTAGAATGAGAGAAAGTTGATAGCAGAGTATAGGGTTTGGGACATGAAAGTGAATGATTCAGCATATTTATAGACAGAGACCAAGATCAACAATAGACAGTGGTAGAATGTGCATCTGACCTTCAAAATAAAACAAAAAGTGGCATTCTAATGCTAATACACAGTATGATAGAAAGGCTTGCCTTTGTCACTGCACTGCAGAACCCTGCAAACAGCAGTATTATCCATTTAAATACCACAATGGTTTAAATCTAGCTGCAGCACTGTGACAATGACATTGTGACAGGCACAATGCAGCAATCAGTCTTTAAATCGATTAAAATGAGAACAAATGAGTGAGTAAAAGAGATCATGTAGAGAGCAATGTTCCTTTCAATGACACTGCATACAGAGTACTTACATCAGTAAAGACTCCTAATGGTTCGTATTCCCAGGTGGCATATCACCGTAGAATTCGCTGATCAATGTTTTTCCTAGGATTTCCCCAGCTCACCTGACCTCCTTCATGTAACAGAACCTGAGTGTATCACTGGAACATGCTTTGCTGAATATGTAACAGAGCAAGGCAGGGGGTGTGGGCAGCTCTGAGAGAGAGGCAAACCTGATCCGGAAGTTAAATCCTTATTTGACAAAAAGGGGGAACCTTTCTCCTGACAGACGATCAGCTGCATGCTGACATTTCCTGTAATAATGTTTACCATGCTGAACATTATTAATATATTGATATGTGTTGGTTTGATCTTTATTTAACACGTCTAATACATGGCCTCGTGTTTAAAATATTTTATTTGTGCAAAATATTATTTCATCCAAATTATTATTAAATAAAACCAGGATCAATGATAGCTAAATAGTTTGTTGCACTGCATTAGCTACATAGATTAGAAGTATATTCAATAGCACTTGAAACATGCAAAAATGCACACTCTGTAAATGTTTATATTATGTATGTATGTAATTATTCCCAATCATGGAAGAATCTGTGATTTTATTACTGTATAATATTATTATTGGTATTTATATAGCGCCAGCTTATTCCGCAGCGCTTTACAATAAACATAGTAGGTCAAACCCTTATTGAAAGGGTTAATAATATATATTTTTTTTAAAAAACATAAAACTTATCTGCAATCCGACCCCAAGTTGTCCCTGCAGCTCAGTTCTCTCCTAGTGGCTTCACTCCTAATTACTACAGAGGGAGATAATTCTCAGAGAATGGCCTGAAAGGAGGATTTGTGTGGCACGGATGAAGAAAGGCATGCAGCCATTGGTCGTCTGTTGCTAGCATGTTATGCGTGCTGACGACAGTTATGCTCTTTGTACAGAACTTACATTAAGCCAATGACATCTCCATACAGGCTTCAAGCACCATGACCACTTAAAATCTGTGAAATTGTCACGGCAGGGTGGCAAGGCCTGAACGCAATGCTGAGTGGTTGCATATAGTGTGAGCTCCGAACAACCCTCTGAAAAGAGCGTTTCTACTGTATTTTAACTATGAATCAGGTACATTTTGCAATGGAACAGTCTACTGCAAAACTGAGGCACTTTTGTTGTATCGCTCGACTGCTAGCCTACCACCGGTGCTTTTCTGCAACCTGCACGTAGATGCGGACGGGGAGAGGAGGACGATCTCTCTACTGGTTCACTGCTGGAACGAATAAGGGCGCAAGAAGTCCCTGTCCCCTCCCCTCGCCGGTGAGGGTTATCCCAGCAGTAGCTCAGTGTGGCTACTGGCACTTAACTGTGGGAGGGCCTGAGACAGTGCAAACATACCTGCATAAGATCTCCCATACAGCTTTGAAAAAGATGGCGGACACACCAAATACCCCTGCCTTGCGTGATCCGCTGGAATCACTTGAAGTGACGATGGATCGGATCTTCGCAGCTTTCTAGCTGAGACTGGAGAGCAGAATAACCGGGCATGAGGAAACGAACAAATGAGACCTCACCCACTGCATAACTCACCTCCTGGTGCAAACCCAGTGCTTAACCCACATGTTCCGAGGAAACGAACACAACGCCAAGCTACACTCTGCTCCTCTCTCTCAGGACATTGTTCGCAGTGCTGAGAGACATTAGATCAGTGGGGATCGCACATGGGCCCTTCTTACTCCCTGGGCCTGAGGAGAGGTTGGTTCTGGCTTAATGGGACTATCTGGCTGGGGCCTGGAAGGCAAGCACGGGTGACGGATGAATGCATTCGTAACAGCACACATGGGGGTTGTGGTCCACACTAAGCCTCCTCCTTCACACCATATTTGTAACCTTGGTTTCCATTGGTTGCATGCCTACCCTTGTCATATGTTGATAGGAACACCATTGTGATATCATAATTTCAGTTTTGTTTAATTTTCATTTGCCTACATCCTGATCTGTTGGTTACACTACATTACAGCAGCAGATCCACAGGCATAACACAGTTAATAGTTATTATACGATCAGGTTCTCTCATTCTGTGCTAATTTGTATACAGTTATGGGTCCTACATATACCTGCCATCTATTTACTACACTGGTGTCCTTATTCATCTTATCCATTGAGCACACTCCTGTACGCATCAACGCAGCATGATTTCCCATATGCAATGTTTGTCATGTCTTGTCTCTGTTCTTAATCTAAATGTTTGCATATCCTACTGATAAAGACATGTTTACCTATCGTGTATTTCTCTGTTTTGTTGTTAACATAAAAAGGGGCTGCCATATCTAGGAGTTAACCACACTGTGCTTGATTTGTGTTTAACTGATATCACTCATTTTCTTTTTTCTGTAATACCTGATTCAACTTCCTCAATTAAGAAAGATTGACACACACATTGTCAAGGTGCTTGGAATCACTTTTTAAAATACACATAATTCATTTAAAGATACTCTTGAAAAACACCTGTGGTATTTGGATTTTCATTAAAGAAAAATGGTTCTTAAGCACCATAACTACTAAATTGAAGCTATGGGCTCTATCTCAATTTTTTTTTATTGATTTAGAGACGTTTGACAAACACTTGGATTCTCCCTGGCCCCCTTAACTAACTGTAGTTGTTATGGTGCTTAGAGTACCAAGGGATACTAAAGCCATAAAGCTACAGTTTTGTTTGTAGAAGTCAAGATACAGACTCTCTGGGTACAATCCTTTTGGCTTTCATTCAAAAAGTTGGAAACAATTTGTCAAAAACTGTATGATTACCAGCATCAAAAGCCCATGACTTCATGTAATTAACTCATATGAGGAAGTTTTGCCTTTATGTATCCAAAATATTACTACAGCTGAAGGGAATTTGGCGGTGCCCTTTCACCCATGCCAAATTAACACAGGTGCCAACAAATGTTTTGGGCTCATGATGTCAAACCACTCGCAAACAGTTTGACTGCAACCAAGGCGACTGCACCATTGAGTCCTGGTATCACAACCACTGCAATAAGCTGCATTGTCTAAATTGCTTGCAGTATCACCATTAAAGCCACCCTGCCATGGTTTTCTTTTCGTTTTCCCTTCCCTTATGCATACCTCCCAAACCTGTCCATCTCTTTGCAACACAATTCTGTCACTGGTCTTCCTGTTTACCTGCCTCCCACTCGTGTCCAAATTCACAGGATACCAAGGAACTAAGGTGGGATGGCGGGACAGAACCTTAAAATTGTGGCTGTGCCGACATATTCAGGACAGTTGGGGGGCATGCTTTTGCCCCTTGTATCTTAATGATTATACATCCCTCCTTGCCACTTGACATTATTTATATTTATTATTTATTTTTCAATGCTAGAAGTCAATATCTGTGCATAGCCAATTTTTCTTCACTACCATGATGTCTGCTGTTTGTTCTTTTGAGCATTCATAATGGATTGTGGGTAAATTTGATTGGCAATTGAAACATAATTTTGCTTTAAGCTCCGACCATTGTCAAACTTGCCTGCTATACATAAGGAAGAGTAGTTCCCATATAATAAATATGCAGATCAGCAACATGAGGATATCTTTGCAAAGGCTGGGTCCCAGCAATTAAAGGAAGAAAAATTATTCAAACACCACTGTTTCACAATGATGTTTCTTATGATCACAATATAACTCATGGGATTTAGTTGTGAAGTTTTCCCCTATGCTTCATTGTATAGCAGCTGGTATCAGATGAACCCAGCTCATACTAAACATTTCAGTCCATTAGATGACTGTTTTGATGTGTAACCATGTATGGATCATGATGAATACAGGTATAATTTGCAATTGTAGATTATGCTAACGTAGTGTACCTATAATCTTAATTTTAGTATTGACAGGAGGCGAGTATTTTGCATTGCTTTCTTTCCTTAAAAACTCCAGCAGCACAGATCAATCAGAAAACATTTAACCAATCAAAACAAGAGTCAGTATAGTATATAAGACAGGACTGACCCCTACTCTTCCTCGGTGCGAACTTAAAGGATCACTATAGGCACCCAGACCACTTCAGCTTAATGAAGTGGTCTGGGTGCCAGGTCCAGCTAGGGTTAATCCTTTTTTCTATAAACATAGCAGTTTCAGAGAAACTGCTATGTTTATATTAGGGTTAATCCAGCCTCCAGTGGCTGTCTCATTGACAGCCGCAAGAGGCGCTTGCGTGCTTCTCACTGTGATTTTCACAGCGAGAAGACGCCAGCGTCCATAGGAAAGCATTGTGAATGCTTTCCTATGAGACTGGCTGAATGCGCGCGCGGCTCTTGCTGCGCATGCGCATTCAGCAGAGGAGGAGGAGGAGAGCTCCCCGCCCGGCGCTGGAGAAAGAGGTAAGTTTAACCCCTTCCTCACCCTAGAGCCCGGCGGGAGGGGGACCCTGAGGGTGGGGGCACCCTCAGGGCACTATAGTGCCAGGAAAACGAGTATGTTTTCCTGGCACTATAGTGGTCCTTTAACAGTCCCTTTAATAGAAACAATGAATACTTGGAACTTGATAAATCCTTTGGAAACTCCGGTTGTGGAAGTATAACTTGAAACAATGAAACTTTTGTAGGAAAGATGATGTAGAATTTCATACTGAAAAGAAAAAGAAACAAGTGAAACATACTTGTAATGAACTGTAGGCAGCATAAAAACTGAAGCTAATGTACTAGTATATAAACTGGTATCAGCTAATCAAAGAATTATGCAAATTATCAATCAGTAGGTAACCTGATTATGTGTATACATGAATATATAGAAAACATTGTCCAAATTATAAAATATCTACTCAAATAGTAAGAGGAAAAATACATGTAAAAGATTACGACAAAATATGAGAGAGTGGGAAGGGAGGGAAAATACTTGCATCCTGTCATTACTAAAATTGAGATTATAGGTACACTACGTTAGCATAATCTACAATTTTACTACATGACAGGAGGCTTCATATTTTGCATTTTTAACGCTCATTAAGTAGAGAAAAAGAAGACAGGGCGAAAATAGAAGACCCGAAAAGTTTTCTCCCGGGACCAGTCCGCCGAGCGCATAATATCCGCTAGAGATGTGCCAATCGAAAAAGCGGGCGTTGCCGCTGCGCCCTGTACGGAGTGGGCGCAGAAACAAGGTTCGATACCCGCTAAAGTCAGAAGCCAGGGTACCCCTCTAGCGAGGGTAGTTGTAGTTACTGGTTTGTGAAGTTTAGTATAT